CTTATTCCATTTAAAGATGTAAAGCCAATGTAAAAGTCTCCTTATAAAAGGCATATTTAAACAATATATATTGATTAGGTTATCAAAACCATTTGAAAGCCTCATCCACAAATAGAAATGTCAGAATTTAGCTGGTTTGGCAACTGTGAAAAGTAAATGAGGTAAAACATGTAAATCAAGTGGCCCCATTCTGGCACAGAATGCCACATTAAATGTGAGTTTAATACAGCCAGCAGGCAGTGTGTGCATATCAGGCTCTTTGAAGTCAAGAAAGGACGATCTGCACAACAAAAAGAATGAAGATTCAATTGCCCCAACAGAATATTTGGTGCCTTTCTTTTATCTTATTTTGCATGTTTTATTTTTCTGCTTCTTTAACTTTTGTCATGACTTTGACTATAAATCTCTAATGAGATATAAGCTATATCTTAAGAACAGAAAGAATTACAAAGAAAGTTTATACTTAGCAATAATACTGCTACTGTATTTTGCAGCTACTGTGACATTGTAGGATAAGCACTGTACAGCCAGGTAGATTTGAGTTGCAGGTCAGTGGTTCAAACTCACCAGCTGCTTCTTGGAAACCCTATACAGGGTTACTGTGAGTCAGAATTAATGCAATGGAACTTTTGCGCATCCCTGTTTGAAAAGATACTTACTTCCTGATTCTGTCACAGAAAAGGCCTAGAAATAATTACAATCCAGGAAGTGATAAACAACAAAGTTATGCTAATTCCCACTATAACAAACCAGGCCACCTTGAAAAAACTGGGAGAGGAAGGTGCAGGACATCCACAAGGGAGGCCTGAAATAACGTGCTATGCAGGGAAGTAATCACAGGCTGCCAGGGTCAGGTGTGAAGAACACTGGAGTAACATGGTGGGGCTCCTAAATAGAAGTCAAATTATGTGAAAACCAACACAGACTTCCAACAACATAAACCCAAAAATGTACTAATTGGTAATTCACAATGCTAACAATTCTTTGACACCCCTCTGGAGGTTATTAGGTATACTTTTTATACAAATTGATTGTGAAATGCACAAGCATCTTTCCTACCTATATTATACACATTATTTCAGGGTAATCAAATAGCAAATTTGAAAAAGATTCTTCTCAATGGAAGAACTTCAGTTAATAAACACAGAAAAGAATGACAGGACTGAATTCATTATGGGAAAGAGTGATGGTGAAGTTTATAACAAGTATATTAAGCTACTGACACCTGAACTCAGTGGTCAATTTTCACTTCACTAATGTGATAGGATAGCATCAGCCCTCGGAATGTGGTCCTTGGACATCAGTATTAGAAATATAAATCCTCAAGCCCTTCTCTTATTGTTAACTGCCATGAAGTCCATTCCAATTCATAAAAACTCTGTATAGGGTTTCTGAGGCTGCAAATCTTTGCAAGAGTAGAAAGTCCCATCTTTCTCCCACAGAGCAGGTGGTGGGCTTGAACTGCTGACCTTGGGGTTAGCAGTCGAATACTTATCCTACAGAGCCACGGCTCTCTCAAGCCTCACCCTACTGAATTAGAATCTCCTGGGGGAGCAACCAAGGCAATTTATATTTTGATTATCACTTCACATTGAGAACCTATGTGCTACAGGAAACAGTTGACCCTTGAACACGGATATGAACTGCAACAGTGCACATATATGCAGTTCTCTTTTATAAACACCATGTGCTGCTTATCTGAGCAGTTTGTCTCTTGAGTAAATTACATACTGCATTAAAAAGTGTTCTCTCACAATTCAATCACTGTGTTTAGTAAAGTATTGTAACCACTGATTAATACCATGCGACCCATTATGAAGTGCAACTAGTGATGCCAGAAATACTCCCAGAGAAACATCGTGACATTACAAGGCAAAGTTGAACTGCTTTGTATGTACTGTAGATAGATTGAGGTCTGTAGCTGTGGTTGCCCTCCATTTCAAGATCAATGAATACAGTGAAGGAACTGTTAAGAAAAAGTAAATTCATGAAGTGACTGCTGCAGCTACGCCAGTAGGCCAGTAAATCCTCAACTTTTTGCAAAACACTTTTATCTTGTACTAAAAATTCAGTTTTGCTGTGGGTACAGTACATAATACATATAACACACACAGTAGGTATTAATTAATGGTTTATGTTACCAGTCTGACTTCTTGTCAACAGTAGGCAAATAGTTACATTTCTGGAGAGTACCAAGTTCTACTTGGATTTTAGACTACACAGGAGTTGGTGCCTCTAACCCTGGATTGTTCAAGGTCCAATGTAAATAGTATCTCTTATATTCTTTCTAAATCAAACCAGACTAAATATGAATGTAAACAAGCCCCTAACTGTAACAAAATATTTGCAGTAAATATGAGGAATAGAAAAATAAATTTTATTAAGAAAATAGTGACTATAGTGTTATTTTTATGTGCTGTCAAGTCAGCTCCAATGCTTTGCTATCATAAACAAAATTCTATTTGCATATGATATTGACGACAGTACTTGGTAATTTCTGCAATCTGTTGGGTCATCTTTCTTTGGAATGGGCACAAATATAGATCTCTTCTAGTCTGCTAGCCAGACAGATGTCCTCCAAATTTCTTGGCATAGACTAGTGCTTCCTGTGCTGTATCAGTTTTTTAAAACTTTTCACTGTAATTGAATGAAGATTTATAGACATCATCTGCTTTACACTCAACAAATCACACACTTGGTTTCATCTGAATGATTACAGACCCTTCCATGCAATTAAGTTATCCCACTTTCTCCCTGTGGTTCCTATGTGCATTCAGCCCACCTTCTCATCCCTTCTTAATTTTGTCCTTAGAAAAATTTTGGCCTTTTGATTTTGAATGATTGACCATTCCATCATGGGCATACTTGTCCTCTACTATAGTTGCAGTTTCTTGAAACATTTCTATTTGTATTCTGTTAATTTCTGGAGCTTTGTTTTTCTCCAATGCATTCAGTGTACCTTGGACGTCTTCCTTCAACACTATTAACTCTTGATCATATGCTACTTTCTGAAATGGTTGAACATCGACCAATTCTTTTTGCTACTCTATGTTTTACATTCATCTTCTTTTGATGTTTTATACGTCATTCAATATTTTGTCCACTGTTGTTGTTGTTATGTGCTGTGGAGTCAGTTCCAACTCACAGCAACCCTGTACAGGGTTTCCGAGGCTGTATATCTTTACGGGAGCAGAAAGCCTCATCTTTCTCCTGCAGAACAGCTAGTAGTTTTGAACTGCTGACCTTGTGGTTTGCAGCCCGATTCATAACCATTACGTTACCAAAGCTTTTTTTTTTGTCCATAGAATCTTTCAATATGGTAATGTTGAGGTTTGAATTGTTTCTTCAGTTCTTTCAGCTACAGAAATGCTGTGTTCTTTTTCCCTTTTGGCTTTCTAGCTCTGGGTCTTTGCATATTTCATTAACACATTTCTTTGTCTTGTTGAGCTGTCATTGAAATTTTCTGTTCAGCACTTTATCACTTTAGCTATTCTACATTTGAGAGCAAGTTTCAGAGTCTAGGGTTATGTTAAAACTGTTGGAGATGCATAATGAAGATCTACACAAGAATTTACCAGAAAAATTGTATATTTGGATTTGTTCTTATAGAAAAGAAAGTTAAGGAGATAGACAAGACTGGAAAAATGTTAATTGTTGATGCTGGGTGGTGGACACAGGGATGTTCACTGTATTGGAGGTGGCTGTGCGCCCCTGAGAAGGGTAACTCACAGTGACCCTGGTACAGGGATTCTAAGGCTGTAAGTCTTTTAAGGGAGCAGAAAGCCTCATCTTTCTCCTAGTGACTGGAGATTCGAACTGCTGACCTTGCAGTTAGCAGCCCACCTTATAACCCATTATGTTATCAGGACTCCTTTGTTCACTGTTACTTGCTCTATTTCAAACATATCAGAAATACAGCAAGTTCACAATATTACTTGTATTATTTCTGATGTTTGAAATTTCTGTAATAAAAAGTGACAAAAAAATCTAATGGTGATTGTCTTAATTTCTTCATTAAGCATCTTTATCTTTATAAAGATCTTTAGTCTTTATCAATCACACAAGGTAAAATGGTAATTATTTTATGTGGACCTCACTTTTCAATTTTTATAATACAATTAGTAGACTCATTATACTTCGGGGGTTAACAAAATGCATGTTTCAAGTAAAAATTAACTGAAGACGTAGTCTCGAAGTTATGTGTTCAAATTTAGACTGTACCAGGCAAGCTTCTGGTGGTCACATCATAGTTTTAAATAGCTAAGAACATAAAATAGTTAAAATTTTTTAAAGACCACATACAATCATTTTATCTACAATAGAACTATCCCCAGTTCCACTGCTAATACCCAGTTTCAGCTTCTGGCTATGAGCTTTCAGAAGTGATGTGATCATAATCCTCTAGAGCCTGGTATCTACTGAAGAACTGATAGGAATTACGGTCAGAATCAGTTCAGAACCAATTAGACTCTGTGCATAAAGTAACAGCCCATAGGAAGAACTGCCTAACACTATGCTATGTTTCTAAGATATCATATTAAAATGAACAGGAACTTTAACCTCAACATAAGAAGGATGTGATTCATGAGTTAAAAGTCATGGCTTAGGTCAGTGGTCTCAGATTTTTATAAGTCATACTACTTCTTCCCCAACACTGTGTCGGTGGCACAGCAAAACTACAACGATAACATGTTACTTCAGCTACAACTCTTTACTAGTGAGGAGTCCTGAATGCAAGGCCCAGCTCTGCTATCCCAATCTATGGCAGTGGGCAAATTACCTAACATCTCAGGTCAAGTGTGCCCTCATGCCACCACCCATTTCAACAGCACTCTGGGAGCAGTCTGTTGTTGCTCAAAGAAAGAAACACGGTTTATTATCAGAAAACAAAACCTAAAATTATCTTTTTGTTGGAAACTTCTGTACCAGGCTCCAGAAACAAAACCAGTAAGCCCTGGCTGACATTTTCAAGCTTTCAGAGTATATGCCTCAATACTCACCCCTTTGCTTATGTAGCCTGCCAGCAGGAGGGAGCCTATAATAATAAGGAAGGCGCCAATCAAAAACAGCACGGTGGCAAGTGCAATGGCCTTATAGGGGATCTTAGGAGGGCTTTTCTTAAACTGGAAAAGAAACAAGAAGGGGGAGAAAGAAAAGACAAAAATATTATAAAAATAACAGGATTCACTACAATTTGATAAACTTGACCTATACTATGGATGTAATAGCTCATAATACCAAGAGGGAAGGAG